AAAAAAAAAAAGATCACTGCAGCAAACTTCTCATCAGATGCTGAACATCCCTCCCATGTGTTTACTCAATAAATACATATTAAGTACCTACTCTGTGCCAGGTACTATTCTAGATACTGAGAGTAGAACAATGAACAAAACAGACAGGCTTCCTGTTCTTGTGGCTCTTACAGTTCAATGATCACTGCTCTGTGGGGTGCCAGCCTCAGGGTCTCTTGAGGCAGCGTTTCCTGTCCAAACTGCCTTCCCAACTGTCACTGGTTGGTCCTAGCCACACCCTGGGCCTCTCCAGAGAATTTGATGTCCAGTCCTGCCAGTCACCCTCACCTGGGGGCTTGCTCTCTTTAATCCTTTCTCCGGCTACCCAAGGCAGTGATTCAGATACATGCAGATCCTCTGAGTTCCCCTGTATAAGCCATCTGCAACCTCCCATTTCTGTCTGCCACAAAAAGTGGCAGGATTTTCTTGTGTTGAAAAATAAGCATATAAACACCTTTTATCCACATTTTAGAAGGAATTTAGTCACTACGAAATAACTTTTGAGTTAGTATAACTGGTAAATTTTTCCAAAAATAATGTTTAAAGATTCTATAATAAGTCAAGATTTAATTTTTTTCAAGATGTAATTTTTAAAGTAAGGATTTTAGACACAACCAGTATCAGAAGTTAGCACCATCATCTTCATAGAGGAAAGGACATTATCTTATCAGATGATCTGGAAGAGTATAGTCTCAGCACTAAAAACTTGATTAGAGACAGGTTCTCGCTTTGCTCCCTAGGCTGGCCTCAGATCATCCTCCTGCCTCGGCTTCCCTAAGTGCTGGGATGAAGCTTGCCGATTGCCTCGTAGTTATTATCTGAGAGTAAAAGAATATTGGTTCAAATCTCATGCTGGAGGAGAAGAAAGCGAAGAGGAAGAAGTTACTAAATCATGTCCAGGTTCATAAGAGGAAAACAATAATCACCCCTCCCCCAAATAAAGGAGATTAATGGTGTCCTGTAATGAAAATGATTAGAACATAAATACAAACATTTGTAAATATTTTTAAAAAGGAGAGAGCAAGCACATAAACCATACAGTGAAAATTTATTTATTTTAGGGCAGAATCTCACTCTACTGCCCTGGATAGAGTGCCGTGGCGTCATTCTCACGGCAACCTCAGACTCTAAGGCTCAAGCAATCCTCTTGCCTCAGCCTCGCAAGTAGCTGGGACTGTAGCAGTCACTCAAGAGATCTAGCTGCCTCGGCCTCCCAGAGTGCTAGGATTATG